GACAACTGTGCTAAAGGCTTAAGATAGCAATCTCCCATCACAACTTGAAAATTATTTTAAATAATTTTTACTTAATGAGGTGCTGTGGGACAGTAATTTGACTTTTTGGAGTAGTCAGACAAAAAGAGTATCTTCTTCGTCTACCATAATATTTTTCTTTTTTTTTGATTGTGTGAATTATATTTTGTATACTACACACTACAGAAAAATATTGATAAAATAAAAAAAATCTGCTAAGTCGTCAATCCCAGAGCCTATATTTTGCTACTCTAAATCATTGTCCTGTCAGTTCTTTTGTAAGATTTAAGTGACTCTAGTATTTAATTTGCGTTCTTAAATTAAACAATTGCAACAATTTGCTTGTAAGTAAAGTTGGTTTCTTTTCTCCAAGGAATGCTTCCAGCACTACAGCTAATGCCACTTTATCACTGTTTATTGCTTCCCTTTTACACCTGTATTAATATATCCCCACAGTACAGCAGAACAGTGATACAAATCTCAGAATTGTTCTTTTGCCAGTAAAGGTATTTTTAAAACATGACTAGTTTATTTTTTCTTTGCATTCACCTACATTTAGAAAATTAACTTTCCTCCTTTTGTTTCTCTCCTTCAGGGAGTCTCTGATCCAATTTCCCATTGTGTGCAATCTGTCTATTTAGAATGACTTTCTGTTTTTTTCTTCTGGTGTTATATGAATGTAACTCTGTAACACACAAGTGTTATGTAAATATATGCATACCTATCTATATACATATCCATCATATTTATTTTTATGCTTTTAAAGTGAGGAATTACAAATATCAAGTTTATTTGAAGTTGAAGATTGATTCTGTGTCTTACATTCACATACAACATGCTAGAAATACATTATTTAATTCCAGGTGAAAATAATTTTGCATGCAAAATGGAGACGTAGTGAAAGTATATGAGAGTTCTGTGCTTGTATAAATGTGCAGTACACTGATTAAGTTCTTGCATTCAATTTTAACTCTGAATAATTACAAAAATTTTGAAAATTATGAATAGGCATAACATATGTGACCTTGACTGAGGTTTGCCCTTCTCTGTGAAGGGCAGGACTCAAATTACAAGAAGGTGTTTTCACTCTTTTTTTATATTCTCTTTTTATTGGTAGCGTAATTCTCCATTCAGATTAGGATTAGTATCTCAAAATTAATACATGGTTGTTACAGCCAGATTTACTGAAATCAGCCAAGAGTGTGCACTTTGAATTGTGCTCTTCATCTGTCCTTTCTCTTCTCCCTTCATTTATGTTCATTACTTTCTGGAGTGGAAATGCCAAGCACACAGGCATGCACCAATACTTCTGTGTCTTCCAAATTAGAAGTGAAGCTTGCATTTAGTAGATTGCATAATTGCAAGTATATAAAATGTACATGAAATCCTCTACTAATTTCTGTGTGATTTTTTTATGTCCAAACTTAATTGTTATTCACAGCATGTGGTCGAGGTCTGTTTGTGTTCTGGAGCATTTGATATCCATCATGGATATGGTGATATACATATCCATGTATAGATATGGTATGATATACAGGTTTGAACCTAGACAAAGGACTGCAATGAGGTCATTGTCATAAATGTGATTTTGAAATGTTAATTTTGTTACGAAATAGAAATGTTTTTACTAGATCTTTGACTTTGTAACATCTGGTAATTTCTGCCTTTCATTTTTTTACCTCCTAAGTATCATTATGTGACAGCTTAAGATATTATTGCTTTAAAATATTAGTTTTCTTAGAAGAAATACCTAAGGTTAATAAGGGAGGTTGAGAAAGATCTTCTGTACCCATAAGCATAACCCATTCCACTGAGAATTGCAGAGAAATTTCCTCTATGATGCGTGTTAGGATTTCTTATGTTGTTTGTTAGGATTTCTTATACTGACAGTGACTATGTCATCAAGTATGTATTCCGTAATGATGTCTCAATGTGTTTAAAATATTCAGTCATAAAATAACATTATCTGTTATGAAAATGACAAGATCAAATTTTAATGCCCGTGTTTAACTCAACATTCTTCTGTTCTCATCTTTTAAATTGAATCAGTATTGAAGGTATAATTTTTCTTGGATTGACTTTCAATTATAGAATAATTATAATATAGAATATAGAATATATGATTCTTTTCGAAATCTATGAAAAGCATATGTAAAAAGGGAGGAGAAAAGACCATTGCTTTTTTCAGCAGATTTTGAAACTTTGTAGCACTGCCACTTTGACATGTATTTGATATGTATCTTACAATTGAAATATTAAAACTATTGTAAATTTATTCCTTTCTTTGTAAACCCACACAGCATTCAAGAGATCTGATATTATCTATACTTTTTTTCAGTCACGCTGGTTACTATTAATCTGTATTCTAAGTGTTTTAAATATCTAGATTTCTTCATAACTGATGTAACACTTCTATGATCTGACAGCATTTACTGGCTAATCATAAAAATCAAACACACTGAAGCTTTACAGTACTTTGAAAGTTTGGCCCTTCATACCAAATAGTGCATTTGCTAAGTGCAAATCTGCAATGTTTTGGTGAAACAGACATACAGGCAGACATAAATTTGCCTTCCAGTATCAATTCATACATCTAGGTATCTGTAGGTTGCAGAGAGACTCATAGGTAAAAGAAACAGTGTGTGCTCATGGTGCATACATTGAATTCACAAGTGTTTATTCCCCTTCATTCAATGACTTTGTATGACTCTGTCTTCAATAACATTGCAGTAGAGATAAGAACTATATGCAAACATGGTGAATTGATCTTGACCAGCTGTCAGACCCCCACCCAGCCAAGCTTTTGCTCGCCCTCTTCAACAGCACAAGGAGAGAAAATAAGATGAAAAAGTTTGTGAGTTGAAATAAAGATGGGGGAGATCCCTTGCCAGTTACTGGCACTGGCAAAACAGGCACAGCTTGAAGAAAATTAATCTACTTTATTGACATTTAAAATAATAGGATGGCAGTCAATATACTGCCCCACCCCCCTGTCCTCAGGCTCAACTTCTTCATTCCCACCTCCTGTATCTTCTCCTGCATGAGTGCTGCAGGGGACATGGGGAATGGCAGCCTGCCCATGACATTCCTCCCAGTTACTCCTTCCTCCTCACACTTTCTGTGCTTCCATGTGGGTCCTCTCCATGGTCTGCAGCCCTTCAGGGTAAATCTGCTCCAGCATGGGACTTAGGTGAGCATTAATTCTTCTAAGGAGAATCTGCCGCTGCGTTAGCTCTCCACAAGCGAGCATTTCTTCAACAAATATCCAGCTTGCTCTGGAGTGGTCACCTCCACGGGCTTCAGGGAGTTGCCTCCTTTATTATGGTCCTTCCTCTCCATGGGTTCCTCTCTGTTCTGTGCCTGGAGCACCTCCTTCTCTGACCTTAGAATTTCCAGTGTTCTTTCACACTTTTTTTCTCTTACCCCTCACTGCCTGGGCCTTGTTTTGCCCTGTCTTAACTATGCTTTTACTGAATCACCACCTGCTTTACTGGTGAACTCAGCTGTGTCTGCAGTGGGTACATTGCAGAGCAACCCTGACTGCTTCTTGCTGACACCATCTCTGCAGCCATCCCTGGAGCCAAAACTTTGTCACCAGCACCCAGTGTAATAAGATGGAAAGAAAGAACATAAGGGATAAAAAGCAGATCCACAAAGACAGAAATTTATTTTGGTTTGTGTTCTTTACTGTGGTTAACTTTATTCTTTTAATATCAGTTCAACTACAGTAAAGTTAATTTGTGATTATCACTTCTCTAAACAGTTTCAGAAGAGCTCTTTTATGAAAGACAAACTGAAGATATTGTGAGGAGGATGTTGAGTGGTTTTTTGATCACTAAAAAACACATACAGGGAAATCAAGCTTGTATATACATGAAAGAAGGAAGGGGGCAAAGAGCAGTGCAGATGAATGGGTTTTTGGTGTGTGTATATAGTGTTTGGTATGCTGCAAATACCTTTCTTACATTGGGGAATGCATGATGTATTTGCCTTCTCATCCATTATTTTTGAATAATCTAATTTTAAAAATTCTGTAAAAGTTTATTTTTTATCTCTTACCTGTTTACTGAACAGCCTTGTTTAGATTCAAACTATAGTTGAAGTGATGGGAAGGTCTTCTGTCTGAAATTGTATCTTCTTTGTACATATGGGTTTTGTTCCTCTTTAAAAAAGCATGTTTGCAAGGTCTTGCATATCTCTGCTCTCAGCTAGTGACAAGTATTGCTTGATTAGCTATTTTTTAAATCATCAGGCATAATTTGCTAAACAGTTTGAAATGTTTTAATACCTTTGTTCCTGGGTGACAAGCTGAAGGCCTTGATTGTACAGCAGCCAACATGTGCATTTAATTTTCAGCTGCTAGTGGACATCAGCTGGCTGCCTGGGCTACTCTGATGTTTGGTGGCTATTATTTTTCTCATTTTCACCGTGAGATATCATCTTGAGTCTTTGTGCACTTTCTCGTGTATTTTTGTATCTTACATTGATCAGTATTGATGCCTTGAAGAAAGCTTGGATACTTCTACAGAAGCTATAATAACACCTTGGCTGAAGCTTAAGAGTAATCTTAAGAAATACTTTTAATTTTTAATTTACTTCTCTATTCAGAAAGAAGTTAAATACTTCTCAATTTTATAAACTTAAAGATTGATTTTCAATGGACAAGGCTTAATGGGTCCAAACTTTTTTTTTGACTAAAAGATTACAATTAAAAAAAAAAGAGGAATTCTTGGTTAATAATGAATAAAAATCAGTTTCATGTGCAGTTTTAAAAATAGTGTATTAAAAAATTCTTTTTGTCTTGGCCAGAGTTATGTTTCCTTCCATGGTGATGTAATAATGTTGTTTTCTGAGATGGCTTTTTTTGTTTTGTTGTTATTTAGTGGTCCTTGGCAGCATAGAAAACGATGGTAATTTAAAATAGAATTATAACAATTTTTTAAATGATGTACTAAAGTTAACCTTATATTTTATTATTTCAGTTGTTCATGGTGGACAATGGAGCAGATGACTGGAGAATAGCCATGACTTATGAGCGTATTTTCTTTATCTGCTTGGAAATACTGGTGTGTGCTATACATCCCATACCTGGGAATTATACATTCACATGGACAGCCCGGCTCGCCTTTTCTTACGCTCCATCCACAACAACAGCTGATGTGGATATTATTTTATCTATACCAATGTTCTTAAGACTATATCTTATTGCCAGAGTTATGCTTTTGCATAGCAAACTTTTCACTGATGCCTCATCTAGAAGCATTGGAGCATTAAATAAGATAAACTTCAATACCCGTTTTGTTATGAAGACTCTAATGACAATATGTCCAGGAACTGTACTGTTGGTATTTAGTATCTCATTATGGATAATTGCTGCATGGACTGTCCGAGCTTGTGAAAGGTAAGGTTGTTTTTTTGTTCAGTTCTTTCTATTTGTCTTTCTGTTTTTCACTCCTGTTTTGTCTCTTAGACTTTTGTTAGAATGGAGCTCCCTGGTCCTTGATAATCTGAGTGCTGCTTGGTCTGTATTCTGGGACAGACCTTGTCAGGTGATTGGCCTCTTAATCTGAAGGACTTCTGCAAAGAGATCTGCACCCTACTGTTTACTGTAGCACTACAATTTGATTTCAGTGTGTAGATATATTTAACACAGTGGACAAATACTACAAAATGCCTTTAAAAGCAGTTGTTAATATCCTGCATTTACACCAATTTTCATTTATTTTCTTTGTAAGATAAATGTAGTGAGGATAAGGTAGAAAAAAATAGCCAGTGAAAATGCTTGGGGGATGTGTAATTTGAGTTTTATTGTGCTGAAAAAAAAAATAGAATGCAAAATGCAGTCGAGGAGTTGGCAAGATCAGTAAAAGGGAGCAGAAAGAACACTTACAGTCATATAACTCTTTCTTTCTTCCAGTGAAAATCAGAAGTGCATTTGAGAGCCAGACTTAATTTCAGCCGGTTTTCCAGCCTCCCTTTACCACAGACTTCAGTGTAGGTGCAGAATAAATGTCTATCTATGCTGACAACTTGAAATTTAATTTCTCAAATATAGCTTTAACAAAAAAAAATAGATGGGCTTCTAATTGGATAGGATTGCTTAGGAATATGAGATAGGTTAACTCTAAGAAGACAATTAGAATGATTCTCTATAAAAGATTTAATTCCTCGGACAGCTCTTAGATTCTGGAAGTGATTTCTTCTTCCTTAAGCTGGAAAATCATAAACATATTTAAGGCATTTCTCCCACTGTTTGTTGATCATTTCGTTTTTCCTATTCCTTTCCATGTCTGTTCATATTAGAATGAATTTAGGGGAGTTACTTGTGACAGCTAGATGATTCAAGTCAGCAGTTAAATCAAACACCATTATGCTTTTTAAAGTTTCTCCTTGCATTCCTTTTCAACTTGTTATAAGGAAAAATATCCAATCCTATAAAATGACTGTAGAAATCATGTTTTTGTAGTTTTATTGTTAAAATTGCTTTGCATCAATATTGTTTCCGTATATTACAGCTAGACTAATAGTTTAAGAATATTCTGAAAATACTGTGCTAAGAATGACATATTACAGTTTCAGAATATTCCCCATAGTGGCAGTGGAGGAGTACCCTAGATTTTTACTCAATTTATAGTAGCTGTATTTTCATTAGCATGTTCTTATTTCAGATGTAACTGACTTCTGCAAACTCTCTCCTCTTGATCTCATATTCTTCACTTCTCTTCCCACCAGTTTTCTTTCAATACAATTGCTGCTGAGGAATTTTTGAGTATCTAGTCAGGCATTTCTCAAACTGTTGGTTGTGAAGTGGCTCTGAATAATTTCAGCATCCATTGCTATCATCATTACATGTAACTGGCTGATGATGGTCATGAGGATAGTGATGATGATAGTGGTGAAATAATATTTTTTTATTAACTTTTTTATGCACGTGCATTCAAAATAAGCTAGTACTACTCAGTGAAGATTACTGAAAAATATTTGCTACTGTCTGATACATGTCTTTAAAACATATTTATTTGTTATGCAGATTGCCAGATAAGAATGTATAATGTATAAGTAATACTAAAAATAAAAGAAACAAAGACCACCTCACCCATTTTCCAGTCAGGGGGAGTGAAGACCACACTCTCACAAAGTTTTGATTTTCTTACTTTGCTTATTTAGATATAGAAAGTGACACACTTCTTCATCACTGTTGTCCTGGGAGGATTATTTGGTTAGGTACACTGAAGTCAGTGTTGCCATAAGATGAATTTTCTTCAACTCTCTGCTAAGTTAGTAATGGATTTTCCACATCTGAATTTGCAGTTGCTGTCCTTGAATTGACTGTAATAGTGTGGGCAGTAGGCTGAATAGCCACAGAGTCCTCTAAAACTGAAACACAACACAATGCAACTAAGAGCAAGTTAAATATAGGAGTGCTAGGCTAATGTATCTCTAGCATAATTGTCTTCTGTTGCTGGATCTCAGACCAAGATTCATATTTTTAAAAAGGGAAAAAGTTAATTTTATGTTTCAGAAATATGAAAAGTAATACCTTTTGGATTTTGGAATTAGATACTTATGTCATTCATGCTAGTTGCACAGCCAGTTTTGTGGGTTTTGTCCCCAGTTTTCCCTTGTAGGAATTTGTCAGTATTTTGCCAAACAAATGATGCTGATTCCAGTTATTAGTCAGCCCATCAAAACCATTTAGATCCATAGCCCATATAAGTATGTGCTAAGAAAAAGTTCTCAAAACCCCATGCATTGGAATGCTCTTAATATTCTGCCTTCTGAAGTTAAATAACCCTTTTTAGCTTAATTGGAGGCAGATACAATAGCCATTTATCATGAGAAAGGACAAATATGGCCACCGAATAATTTCTGTTCTTTGTAAAAATCATAGTCCTCAAAATATTCTCCCAAGGTCTTTATGGCTTTGTATTGCTTAGATGTTGAAAATTTAGTTTACACAAATAAGGTACATTTTTTCCCAACTGTTCTTGATTTTTTTTCTTAGTTTTAACTTTTTTTTTTTTTTGACTATTTTATGTACATGAAATGATCCTAAAAATAAATTCTGTCAGTAGGAGTGTTTTCTATTCCACTTGACACTATAGATGAAAACATGATGAATTTTGATGCATCAAACAGAAATTAGGAATTAGGCAGCAGCCTCATAGCTTTGGTTTGTTTTGGGATGATTTATATTTTAAAAAATTTGATTGTTTTAAATGTTTCTTTGCAGGATTCTAGCACCATGCTCTAAATCTGTTACATAGTAGCATTACATAAAAGTTAGCATTAGCAGTATTTCTTTGGTGTTTTAAATCATGTAAATGATCATCAAAATTGGAACCAAGATGATGGTGTTAAGATATAATAAATTAAAATATAAAGATTTTGGAATGGATAGGAAAGATTCTCATTCTGTTCCATGTTCTCAGTGAGAAGTCACAGGAGGCTGTGTCCTTTATTGTGTAATTATGTGTGCTCAGCAAGAGCTGTTGCTGCTGAATGACAGCCTGATGTTCAGATTGTTTTTCTATTCAAAGTTAGGTTTTTATTGTTGCAGATGATCCTGGGAATAGGAAGGGAGATTGGAAACCCCACATTATATAGTGAGGAAGGTAACATGAAAGAGCATCATTATCCATCTCTTGCAAGATAACCTGTGGAGACAGGTCATGGGTTGAGCCAGGCAAGTCGACTGTCTGAATAAAGGCTTCACTGCATTAATGGTCATCTGACTGATCACTTGATACACACTGAACTAAGGCAGGACATGTGTCTTTCTCACTGCCTTAATGACTGTATAGTTAGCTCCCAGAATGCTAATTATAGCAAGTGACACTTTGGGTTGGTGAGAAAGGTATTTTCCATGATTGCAGTTTAAGGTCATGTATGAGGACAAAATGTGGTACAGAAAATGGTGGTGGACAGCCAGCTGAGTATAAATGGACTGCTGGGGCTGCAGAGTAATCTAGATGAGGGAATTTGGGAGGTGAGGTGGGGAAAGCATGAATTGTTGCTATATACATAATGTCTGTTTTGAGGGGAAGATTGCATTGCATAGGTTTCAACATCTGCTTTCTCATTGACAGTAGTAGTATATTGCTGTTTGTCATCTGTAAGCTTCATAATAAAAATCTAAATTTTTTATTAGGTCTGAAAAGATTTTTGTGTTTATAACATCTCTGAGGCACATGGTCTAGAACACTTATGAGTATGTTACTTTCATATTTGAATTATGAACTCTACAAGCAGATTAATTTTTGCAGTTTCCCATACATATGTTGTTACTGAGAATAGATTTGTGAGTGGATATCAGTTGTTCATATCATTTATAATAGTTTGGTTTCTCAGGAAAAAGAAAGTGACTATGTTTAACAGTAAGTCATTGAAGAATCTGGCAAGTTTGCTTCTACTCTTCTGTAGAATGAGTGTCTCTTCCGTGTGAAGTGGGCTGCTTTTCTAGGTTGTGTGGAAGGCAGTCACTCTTCATGATCTGGTTTGGTTTGGTTTGTTTTTGGGAAAGGAAGAGACAATATTGTCTTCTGAATACACACATGTATAATGTGCCCATGTACCAAGCAGTATGAACTACAAATGCCCACACTGCGCTGTTGTATGTCCAGATCACATCATGTGCCTGGCATTTCTGTGGATTTGCAGAGGAGAACTGAGAACAGAACTGGATTTTCTTCTTCCACAGAGAGCACACTTTCGGCACTCTTTGTTGTTCTATTTGTTCATCTCTTTAACTTCTGGCAATGAATTCAGTTCAGTTTGAGCAGTTTGTTTTAGTCAGCATTTCTTCCTTTTGTCAGTTTCTGCTCTGTATTCTCTCCTTGCTTTAGCAGAAACAAACTCAAACAAAAAACACAGAGATATGCAAAATCCCATCTGTGTGTGATGGTGAAATCTTTTTCTGCTTTCTTCTCATTCTTGTTTTCTACAAATAAATGTCTGTCTTATTTCTTAGAAATATGATACCATTACAAAGTTTCCAGCAAGCAGCTCACACATGACAACTGTGAGGCAAATGTTAAGGATTCATTCGATACAAGCTAGTGGATACACTGACACTTTCAGTTGTAATTCATGAAGGAAAAAATGTTTCTTAGCTATCTAATTTCCTCTCAGTATGTATTTCAGTTCCTTGCTTGTCTTGAAGACCTTATCTGACGTTGTACATTGCATGCATATTTACAAGGCCACCTTTTAATGGAAATTGCTTTTTGCATTCTCTGCAGTGCCAGTGTGAATATTCTTGTACTCAGTTTAAAAAAAAGCAATCAAAACCCCCCACAAAAAACCCAACAAACAAGGAAACAAATCAGCCAACAACAAACCAAGCCTGGATACTTAATTTTAAGACTATTTTTAGGCTCAGAAGGTCAGAAGCAATGACAT